AGCCCGCGCCTTTTGCAACGCATAGCGCCCTCATCACCATGCATCGCCCTCCCGACCAGTCAGCGTCGCCGTTCATCGTACAGCGCCCTCCTGACCTGTCGGCGCCCTCCTCACAACACATCGCCCTTCTGACCGGTTAGCGTTCTCCTCACCATGCAGACAATGCAACACTTTACAATTAGGAAAGCGTTAAGTAGCCGTTGCTTAACCCTCGCCGGCACAGGCCATTTTGCGTCATTCGACGACACAAGAGGTTGGTACGACCACCCCCCCCCCCCTCGCGTTTGGCCCCTGATTGAGCTAGAGCTTCGCGGAAAAACGAGCGTGTTGCCCGTCACGAGGACGAGAGGAAGCCGATGATATCCAATTTTAAGATCCTAGGTCATCAGGTGACCTTCCAGGTCAGGTCAATGACCCGAAAATCGGGAAAATCGGGGCCCTAGAAAGTCGTAAAGTGTGGCTGCTATGGAGTTCTCCGGGGTGCTGATCACGAATATCGTGTTAGTTTTGATCAGAGATGATGTCTTTAAGCATTTAGACCAGATCGGGTCAGGTCAGGTCAGGTCAACCGGTAGGGGTCGTGACGGGTATTCGTAATACGTGCCAACCGACTCTGACAGCTTCGTAACATGTCACGAAGGCACCAAAACTACTTTGTAAATGTTCAAATGGCTGTTAAATTCGAAATCAGCTCCAAAAACTAGCCTAGAAACATGTAAAACTCGAAAAAGTGAACCGAGGTCACCAAAGGTCAATGACCTGACCTGACCTTCAGGTGACCTTTTGGCATCCACCCTAATGCATAGGAGCAACATCAAATCACATGTTTAAACGTTTGAAACCACGAAAAGGTTGCAAACGCGCGGCTAATGCGAGCCGACATACGCCGAATCGCTATTCCGGCCAAACATGGTCTCGGAAAGTAGGTCACAGGTCAAAGGTCATTTGGGTCAGGGTCATGAAATTTTCAGGTTAGGTGTACAATTGATCAATGCGAGGGCACTGAAAGTTTCGTCGCGATCGGCCGCTTTTTACGCGAGTTATTCGCGAAAAACCTTAGGGGGAAGGCCAGCTGACAAGTGTACGCTCCCGTGACGTCACGGGTAATGTTAAACAGTCGGGCGCCCGGCACATAGGAAAGCTCGGGATGACAGCCCCCTGCTCAGTTGCCACGATCTCCAGCGCCTCCTGCAACGTTTTAGGCTTCTGCCTGAGGATTTCCGCTCGCACTGGTGCATCTACTGCTGTGGTGAGGTGGTGCAGTGCCAGGGCGTCTTGTATCTCGCTGCTGGCGTATGGGTAGGCCAACATAACACGACGCTTCAGACTCTCCACAAACTCTTGTAGTGGCTCAGCGTCCCTCTTCTTCGTGCTGAGGAGCATTCTACTCTGCTGCTGCTGATGGCGGGCACCGAAACGGTCCTCCAGAGCAGCCACAAGCTTAGTGAAGCTCACTCTATCCGGTTCTGCCATGTTCGCCAGCACCGTTAACGCTTTCCCATCCAGACTGGTGCTCAAGAAGAAGGCCTTTTCCTCGTTAGACCAGTTGTTTCCCTGTGCCAAGATGTTAAACTGGGCCAGATATGCTTCCCAGACGGCAGTACCGTCGTACCTGGGTACTTTCTGCGGGTACCTCACTTGCTCATGAGTTGATACCGGTGCAGGTGTTTCCATTGGTACGAACGGTGGCGCTCCAACGGAGAGAGCTGTTGAGTCGCCAGTTCTAGGAGTCTGCGCTGGTTGGTCATGTAAAAGCCGATCGAATTCATCCATTCTTTCGTTCACAGTCTTGACTTGATCCTGCATCTTCTCTATCTCCTTTTGGAACTCCCTCCTAATGGCTGTTTTCATGTCCGATACCTCCTGCCGAACCAAATCCATTTTCTCGCCGAGCGGTGCGATAAATCCGACTATGGTATGCAGCATGTCCTGCGTCTGCTGACTCTCCGCCGCAGACGGTGTCCCGTCCGGTGTTTCTCCAGACAAGTCGTTCATGAGGTCTCCTTCTCCATTTCCTTCGATGGCAGCTGCATCAATTTCACCACTAGCGTCACTCCAGTGATCCAGGTCGTCTAATGACGTCTCCTCTTCGCCGTTACTCGGTTGTTCCGCCATCTGAACATTGACCACCACTGCATTTCCCGAGTTTTGGGCATCATTGAACTTGTTGGTTCGACGTCGACTCTTCGATCGGGTTCTAGAGCTGACATTTTCTGCACTTGTAGACATCGTTTCTTAGTCACTTAGTTAAGTCAGTTACTGGGAATGATCAGCTACTACGTTACTTTACGCTACTGACCTACTTTTGTCTATCGGTGGTTTTTAAACTTAAAGCCCCCAGACTTACGTTATTTTTTATCCCACTTCTGACACCAATTGTTACAAAAAACAGGTTAGCATTTATTGCTTTCACATCGAAGACTCATAGCAGCAAGATAACCACACATAAACTAGTACGTCGCTGGTTTTTCGCTTCCCCCAAAAATCCCCCTTTTTTCCGTCGCGTCGATTTACAATTAATAAATTATGCGTCCGTCGCGAGAGAAAATCCCGCAGCACCTTTCGCGGCGGATATTTGCAACAGTATTATTATAGGTAGGACTTCGTCTTTAAATGGGGTGTCCCCGTCGACGATGAATTAAATAAACTAAACTAAACTAAACTAAGGTCAGGTCAACCGGGTAGGCACATATCCCGAAAATCAAAACTGATATTCGCAGCCTGTGACACATGTTTTATGGGTAATTTGGGGCGTAGAACACGATGGTGACATTCATTTTGTCATATGTGTACGTGTTTGGCTCAAAAAGTTCAATTTAAGAAATGCATTGTATCGTGGTCGTGAAGTAGTCACGAGAAATGGCCATGGTTCAGTTCAAGATTTTGGAAAATGCGGAACGATAATCAATAATCGAAGATAAACATTTGATTGTTCAAGGTATTTGCAGTCTAATGGCGTTTACGGCATGTCTATATTTCTATTTTGTGATTTAATATGATTTTTTGAACATATGCCGTTTTTGGTCGAAAACTCAGAAATCATGACGTCACTAAAACCTCGAATCTCAAAAATTTTCCGACCGATTTTTTAAAAACTTTGTCACAATGAACTTCAATCAATTCCCTACAGGTATCCAAAATTTTGCGCGGGATAATAACACCTCGTCTCAAGCATTCAGAGGTACAGGGAGTGTCCTATTCCAATTTGGAGGCTCTGAAGGCACACATCCTGAAGGTGTGGGAGACGAAGGACCCCACCTACATCATCAAGACATGCAAGTCTTTCCGCCTCCGTGTGGAGAAGGTTATTGCCGATAAGGGGGTTATATCGCGCATGAGGCGAGTGAAAGTATCTGGTTTGATAATGCAAACCAGATTTGGTGTTAGCGTTGATAATATTCACTCCGATTGCATTCGTTTATCGAAGTACAGAAATGGGCCAGAACTTTTTGCGCACCCTGTAGATACCCGGCTTCTGTCTCACCGGCCGGACGCTGCGCGCGCCCTGGTGGTGACCGGGCGCAACAAATCCGCCGCCGCCTTAGCAGTGGCATTGACTTCCGCCGTCTGCTGCGGTTCCAAAGTCAAGCCAGCGTGGAATTGGGAGAGCTCGGTCAGCCATGGTGGGGCCCGGGAGCATCAAATCCGCCGCCGCCTTAGCAGTGACACATTGACTTCCGCCGTCTGCTGCGGCTCCAAAGCCAAGCCAGCATGAAATTGGGAGAGCTCGGTCACCCGCACCTGGCAGCTCAGTATATTTCCTTATCATTGTACTAGCATTATATAGATATGCTAATTTCATAAACGTGCTTACGCTTTAGGTTTACGTGAGTGGTAAACCCTTAGATAAAACAAATTAATGTAATATTTAGTAGAAAAACAGCAAAGTAACGGGCCACGTATTCGAAAGGTAAAAAACCTACTACAAAGAAATCCTAAAATTCCTGAGGCATCAAAGGAAACTACTAAAATTCCTGAGATACCAAAGGTCCAAACAGGCATCTATTAGGTACCCGCTATTCCGTCGTGAAAACGGCTTATAAGTCGTATGAGAAAAATGTCACAAATTAATTTTCGCGGTATTTAGGCAAGTAGGTACCAAGTATTTCGGAACGTTTTCAGTACAATAGCAACTAGCAAGTTTTCAGTACAAATGAAGCCCCAGCATACGCGTCACAAGTTTTTCACGGTATTTAGGCATGTAAATACCAAGTAAATTAGCAAGATTTCAGTGCATTAGCAAGTACCTAGCAGGTGATACAGCAAGCTGGCAGGTATTTTGGCAAGTTCAACAAGTTTTTCGCGAATATCTAAGCTTCTAGACGTCCGATCAACACGGGACAAACACGAATCGATCCCAAATTTTATGGCCCATCACATGAGCGACAGCGAACAAGTAATATCTTGTTTTTCTACCAATTGTGAGCGCTCAGCGCAACTTTCGAACCAAGAGTGTTTTGACCGATGACATCATACTATTCCACAGTTCTGGTTTCTCAGCCGTCATGAGCTAGTGACGTAATCTCATGCATTGCATACAATACATCTAATCATATCATGGTCTGCCCATGATTCGTATTTTGTTTCGAATGAAACGCTTCCTTGCGCGCGGATCAGGCTGCCAAAACTGGTTTGCAGAGATTTTTCACGTTCGCCCCAAGGTCACTCAATCATCAAAGCAATATTGCAGTATTTCAGCAAAGGAACTTAGAGAATGTTTATTTTTTAGTTTTCTTGACTTAGGTATGTCTTGGGGGGGGGGGCAAAACAGCATACCCCCTTGACCGTCTTGGGGGGGGGGGCATATCCCATTTGCCTCCCCCCCCCTGGATCCGCCTGTGGGCTTGTGCCGGGGGGTTGCGCCGGCTGGCCGCCTCGGGAGCGGGGACTTTCTTTATAAACTTATTGCACACTGTTGCAGTACGCAACAGGAATTGTCTGCTTTCCTGGCATCATCCCAGTAGTGTGCTCCACAGGCGGCGGGTCCGCCCACCACTGACCTGCCGGCTCCGGCGGCGCCTCGCCTTGCTCTGTCAGCTGCGCCAGCCGCGCGGCCATCGTGTCCAGCTGCTGTCGCTTGTCGGCCAGCGCCTGCAGCTTTTGGCGGAGCTGCTGTGCGGCCGTCTCCTCCAGGCCCTCCAGCGGCACCGACTCCAGCGCCGCCACTCGCGCGTTCAGACCAGCCAGGGAACTGCAACCTCGCCAGGTGACCAGGGTATCAGACAACTGAGCCTCCACTCAGAAATCCGTGTTAGACAATTGAACCTCCAGAGACCAGAGGTCAAATAACTGAAACTTCAGGGACCAGAGTATTAAACAACCGAGCCTCCAGAGACACCAGAGCATGGGCGTAACCACCGCGTTGGAATGCTGGAAATTCCAGGCCATTTTTGGTGACTTGCCGTCCCTACCTAGAGTACTTCGGCGCCCTCAATGAGCCCCCCCCCCCCCCCAGGTGCCTCGGCGCCCTCTATGTATGTGCCGCCCCTCATCACAAAACCCCGCCGCCCGCAACGTGTCGCCCCTCCCCACAACGCTTTACTGTCTGTGCCGCCCTCCATAAAAACCCTTCCGCCCTCCCCAGAGTACGGCTCTCCAGTAAAACAGTGGTTGGTTTTGCTTGGTAATATCTGGTCTTATATCAAGTGCAAATGCATAAGTTTTATCTTGAGTTTTATTTTAAAAATTGAATATGAGAGGTAGCGTGTTATTTCGCGTTTTTTTTTTTTTTGTTGATCTGTCGTGGAAGCGTATTTACAAATTGCAACCGAGCTCCGCCGTAGGGTATTTTATTTCCGCCGTAGTGTATTTCACTTGGGGGATTTGCTACCATACATCTGCCTGAGCTTAGGGTAATTACAATTTGTCGGTGACGTTAAAAATGATGCACCTTTTTTCGCAGTATAGGATATCGCATGTGCATATTTCTGCCTTTTTGGGTGCGCTTTATCGGTTTTTCGTGAGTAACTCGCGTAAAAACCGTCCGATCGCGACGAAACTTTCAATGCCCCCGATTTTATCAATTTTACACCTACCCTTAAAATTTCATGACCCTGACCCAAATGACCTTTGACCTGTGACCTATTTCTCGAGACCATGTTTGGCCCGAATCGCGATTCGGCGTATGTCGGCTCGCAAGAACATTTCACATCCGCATGTTGCCTAAGATGAGCCACGGAATGAGGTCAGACAATGCAGTTTTTATAATCGAACACCGACTGAAGCCCGAACGGGGCATGGCCATTGATGAATTCCTTTGAAAAGGAAGCGTCCCGGAAGGTCGCCCTCTCAATCAGTCAAACGCTCACGCTTCTACACGGAGAAGGACTATTTTATTCGGGAGACGGGTTCATTCTTGAAGAGGAAATCTTGATATACGGTCAAATGAGAACGCGGCGGAGCACGGGAAAAGTTTTTATTCCCCGGTGTTTGGGACTGGAAGCAATAAGCCCTCACACGTATTGAGGGGTTAGCCGTTAGATAGACCCACCCCTAGGGTTTTCGTAAATAACTCACGTAAAAAGTGGCCCAGCGTGGCAAAAGTTTTAGTATTCTTGTGATTATCAATTGGCTGCACATTTCCTGAAATGACCCTGGTCCCTAGCCTTCATTACTATTGACCTGTGGCCTGTTTCTTAAGTCATTTTCAGGCAGGTAGCTTTTTAGGATAGTGAGCTGTTTTCAGGCAGGTAGCTGTTGGTTAATGGATTCCAGTGTTAGTGGGAAAGATTGACCCTCACACTTTTAGCGGTTGGTTAGATTCCTGACGCACTGCGTGCCGTTTCCTAATACAATTTTTCTATAATATAGGGATTTTGTTTTATTCCTGAAAGTCGAAAAGCCAAACATTTTCGTCGATTTCGGAAGTTGCCGGGATCGTTAGGTACCTAAAATGTGACCCTGCCGCCTGGATCCACCAGTAGGGTGACGTAGCCTACCATTTCTTGAATTTTTTTTTCAAATTAAAAATGAAAATCATGGTATCAGGGCTGTGACGAAAAATAAGTGGCCTAAATCCGATGAGAAAACTGGATTCGGGGGTACCCTAGGTTTGACTTCTGAGCCTCTGGCCCCCCCAGTGAAAATTCCTTAGAGGAGGCCCTGTGTCAAGGTCACCTGAAGGTCAGGTCAGCTCAATGACCTTTGATGACCTCGGTTCCTTCTTCGAGTTTTACATGTTTCTAGGCTAGTTTTGGAGCTTATTTCGAATTTAGCAACCATTTGAACATTACAGGGGGTGTAACGAAATTATCCGGACACCTTTATTCCCGCTGTAATTAAAAAGCAAAACAATCTGGTACCTTTTCTTTTAACTGAGCTTGTAGCCACCTTTCATAAAAACACAGTGATGAATGTTCTGGAGCATTTCAGCCAATGGATTCTCCAGCACACCGGCTTTGATGCGGACCAACGCCGTCTAAACCTGTGCCTGCGGTTGAGCAGTGCTTATGGGGGGTGGCTCTTCATATACCTCCTGCTGAACAATTGAGCCCACAGGTTTTCGATTGAATTGTGATCGCGACTTTTTCCAAGTCATAAGCGTTAGCCCAGAATGGTTGAAGTTTCTATCGGCATCACTTCCCGTTCTTTTAGGGACTTTTAAGTAGCGCGCCGCCCCGCATGAAGACAGCGTGGCTTGAATCAGGCATCAGTGCGCGTTCAGAAACCGTGCCCTCCCATGCCGTCTGGTTGAGCGCCTCCAATCATGCTCCACCACCTTCCCTGGAAAAGCTCCACCCTTGCCTATGGGGCAAAATATAAGGGACAAAAACACCAAACAAGACAGATAAAAACAAAGCAAAATTAACTCATTACCTAATGAAATTCAGGCTTGAGCAAAAACATAGGTAATAGGTATCTGTGTCAAATTAGAATGAAAGATTAAAATCAACCTGACCGGGCCTTACGGTCTGACCTGGAGAGGTAGGTACCTTCCTGGAAAAATGACGCCCAGGGAGGTGACTGTCCAACTTATTGGAATACTTCCATGATTGCTTGTCAAAATGTGTGTCATCAATATCATGCTCTTGTTTGACAAGTGATGTATAATAAATGTGATATTCAATAATTATCTCCTGACTGCTGACTGTTGAGTGATCAAAATATTCAAATAATCAGGGTACAATGCTGTGCATAGTGCACACTAATCATGTTGTTTTTGTGTAGGCCCTCTGCACATTGTTGTGTGCAGGGTATATTGAGTGAAGGGTAGGACGAACTTTGGTAGGAATTTCTAGTATAACTACTAGAAAACCTACTATATGTGGTCGGGACTAGCAAAAAGTTAGTTCAATCTAGAATATGGTAGCGCTTATGGTTGGCAGTCGTGACGCGCACGTGACAATCATTTCTTAAATTTCTTAAATAACAGGTTTTAAGGGCCGATTAGTGGGCAGATACATTCAATTAGCTATTAATGATTGATTATGCAAACATTCAAGAATCTACATCATTTAACCCGCGCACCGACGGGGGGGGGCGGATATCCGCCCCCCCTGAGGTTTTTCGCGAATAGCGGGAAAACGGCGGCGCTACGCGCCGCGAAATTTGGTATGACTATAACCTAATCAATTTTACACATGGTGTGCAAGTTTGAACTTCCTACCTTTTAAGGTCAGGTCACCAGGTCACTTTGAATGACCCAACCTCAAGTCACTTTTTTGCAACTTTGTCACCGTGCCACAGCTACAGTAGATGTCGGAGGGCTTTGAAAGTCGCAGGATATTATTAGGTCATTAGTAGCTACAATTTGTATATCTCGGAATTTTGATATCGGTGACCTAAGGTCAGGTCAATTTCGCGACCTCCCCATTATAAGTCAATGGGGGAAAAATCAACTCCCTGTTTTTACCACTAAAACGGGTCGGAATGGCCCCATATACTTTACATGACTTCATATACGATCAACCTTTACTACCTTGAGGTCTGTTTTGCTGTTGGGCAGCTGTGAGGTCATGTGACGTCATCAAAGGTCACCAAAGGTTTTTGGCCAATAACTCCGTACAGGAACAAGATACAGACGCGTGGATGGTCCCATTGTGTTCAGCTCGTCAAGACGCATCGAATGATATACATGATGACCTCGAGGTCACGTGACCTGAGGTCAACCTTTGACCTTGACCTTTTGAGGTCAACATATATATCATTCGATGCGGATTGACGAGAGGATCACGATGATGCCCTTAGTTTGTTCCTATCTTGACTAATTCGAGTTATTCGAGAAAAACTCTCCATATCTAGCGCCGCCATTTTGACTTTTTCGACCCCTGTGACGTCATCTTTGACCTGACCTGAAAATGACCTTAGTAAAAATTGTAGATATTGACCGTGCGTATCCGATGCCGTTTACCGCTTGTCGCTATCTTGCTTCGTTCTCGAGATCTCGGGGGGGGGGGCGGTCATCCGCCCCCCCCCCGTCGGTGCGAAGTTGGCGCAGACCCCCGTCGGTGCGCGGGTTAATTCTAGCCAAAATCACGCGGCGCTCCCAGGATTCGAACTCACGACCCTCGGATCTGTAGCCCGGTACGCTACCAACTGCGCTACCGAGGACCGCGAACCGACGATCGGAGAGGCGTATCGCGGGTGCTGGCGTGCAGAGAAATCTTTACCCTGTACGCCGTAGAAGATCGGCTGGGTTTCGTGAAAAATGGTAGAGGAATTGTCGAAAGAAAATTCATCGATCTATCATTTGAGACTAAGAACCATTGATTCCTTCAAAGGTTGACCGAGATATCGCTCGCCGAAAACAGGCCATTTAACATGTAAACCCTATGGGCTGGTAGGAAATGTACGCCGTGGAGCAGCAGTGCTACCAACTAACTTCGGCGGGGGCCGGTTGTGTGCACCTTAAGTAAAAAAGTGACTGGTGGTACATGACAAAAGGTTGTGCAACTGTGAAGTTCATGCCCTTGGTCAAGCTGGTGCCAAATGCCTATAGCTATAGCAGGATCAGTGAGGGTTGTAGACATGCTACATACATTGTGCATTGAAGACAGGGGCGTCGCCACGGATTTTTGAGTGGGGGGGGGGGTCGGGTTTCTAGTCTTCACCCGATGGGTAGGGGTGTTTTTTTCACACTTCCCAGTTTTGTGCGTGCGTATGTGTGTGTGTGCGTGTGTAACAAGTCGGCGCGCAGCGCCGCCAAATTTGGTATAACCTATTAGGTAGGTATACCTACCTACATCACTTGCG